CAGTGTCCTACATCATTGGCAGTAAAAGAGTTGAATCATATGATAACGCTCAGTGTGTAGTGTAATGTCCCCAAATATACAAATTAAAATGAAATTTCCTTCATTGTGTATATTTTTAATATATTTTGGTTTCACCAGAGCGGCCTTGGAGAAATATGGACCTCTCAGCTTCGCGTTAAAAATGGTTAAATGTGAGTATTGTTTCTCTTTGTTTATGTTGACATATAATATGTATGTTAAAAGTGTTTACATTGTAGTTTTGTTTTGAAATATAATAAATACCACATGTGTGGCATGAATTCATTGTCAAGTTGTTTACTTCGTTAGGTAATATTTCTTAAATAATCAGTAATTCTTTGTTAATACTTGATTATTAAATTATATTTATATATGTGTATGATTTTTTTAGTGCATGTATTTTCTATTAATTAGTCTTGATAAAAATTGCCTATCTATGAAAATCACCTACTTAACATCGTTCCATATTTTATTCTGTTCTAAATGCTATAGAAAATGACACAGAACATATAAAATAATTTCTTCCTGTTAAATGTATTTGTCCGGACAGACACATCGTGTGCTCTTTTGAGGCTACCAACAAAATGCCACTATGCAAAAAAACGTCAATTACGAACATAACTTATAACACAAACTGCTAATTATGAAATAACTGAAATTAAACAGAAATTCTTGGACACTCAAAATATGCTAAGATCAGCGACTGCCTTCAAAATCTGATTTGAATAAAAATAACTAAGGCGCTGCGCAAACGTAGACACATTTTGATTTCATTTATCGACACCGAACATTTTTTGATCAATATTGATTACTAGCTACTTCCGCGCGGTTTCACACGCTCTGCTCAGCTCCTATGGGTTGTAGCGTGATGTTTTATAGCCTATAGCCATCCTCGATAAATGCGCTATCCGACACAAAAAGAATTATTCAAATCAGACTTGTAGTTACGGAGATCAGCGCGTTCAAACAAAAAAACAAACTCTTCCGCTTTATATAATAAGTATAAGATGTGTTAAGTGGAAGCAACTGAACACAACGAGTGGATGATATCATACTGGTCCTATAGAAATTAAGTACCCATCGGTAATTTGTGTCTGTGTCTTCTGTCACTCAAAAATGTCCACGTGTGTGCCCTGCCTTAAACACGGCATCGAACCGTGACGGATAGTTTTTATTGTTAAATACAGTAATATTGTGTTATACAGAGCTATACACTTGTTTGAATAGCTGAGGCCTTTTTGCGTACCGTTAGTTTGAGTATAATAAGATCAAATGTATGCTACAGTTTGTATAAAACAACACAAACAAATCTTGTGTAGTTACCTTACTTTTGTAGCGTTCATACGTTATGAAAATATTTTTTTATCTGCTGCGAAAATAAGTATTTTTTTAGAACGTAGAATACTTAATTAAATATTAGTCACCCTCTTCTTAATATATGTCTTAAGAACCAATAAATACAGAGACCGGGTAGCAGCGCTCTCTGATAAATAAACGTAACATAACATAAAACCACGCCTTTTATCCCCGAAGGGGTAGGCAGAGGTGTACATTATGCCACTGTACAATGTAACACCCACTTTTCACTATTTATGTTATGAGTCCCATGTAATAGGTGGTGAGCCTATTGCCATATACCGGGAACAATTGCAGACTCTGTGCTACTACTACTGTGATTTTTTTGAAAAACCCAATACTACTTTGCCTGACCCGGGAACGAACCCGAGACCCCTTGCCGGGCAGTCGCACTTAAACTCGACACTCGACCATTAATAAATAAACGTCGCCCTTTTAAACTGTGATCACTGTAACCCACCTACAGAGAGTGGAGGTTATGAAACCTTCATAAGTAAGGAAGCCTATAATCTAGTAGTGGTCACGAGTTGATAATAGTGACGTATATATTACTAACATGACGATTATTTCTATTTATAGGTGAACACAGCAGAGACCTAAATCTCGATGTCAGCGGCATCGACGTATACTTCTACGACTTCCAAAATGGCATCACGGAGTCTTTTCCTATCAACGAAGCTGCCGACAGAATCCTAGCCTTGCAAGACCTGGATAAAGTGAAGAAATTCTTTATGTTCGTTGGTGGCTTTAAGTCACACATCAATAAGAATACAGAAGAACGCGTAAGAAACGCCTTCAGAGAATTCCCCAACAGCTATCTGATCATCATCGACCATTCAGCCTACACCAATGACAGACAAGGCAAAAAGAAAAGTTATGAACGTTCAGTAAAATACGTCTACTACATAGGTAAACAGTTGGCTCAAATGTTGGTGGGTCTTCACCAAGGAGGAATCTCACCTAAAACTATTCACTGCATTGGCCATAGCTTAGGCAGCCAAATGTTAGCCCATGTTGGTGAGATCTTCTTTGAAACTACAGGTGAGAAGATCGCAAGGATAACTGCGTTAGACCCAGCTGGCCCTTGTTTCTCGAACAGTTTGATTCAGGAGCAGATCAGGGCTGGTGTAGCAGATTACGTTGAAGTATACCATTGTAACGCTGGTGGGTTAGGTACGACCAGTGTGCTAGGTGACGTAGATTTCTTCGTGAATAAAGGGGGATCTCAACCAAACTGTGGTACTGCCTTGATTCCAGGTATCATAGACTCCTCATTTTCTGCTAAATGTAATCATAAGACTTGTGTCACCATGTGGACAGCATCTGTAACAAATCCTGAAGGATATACGGCGTATAAATGTGATAAATATAAATATTTTAAAGGTGGCATGTGTTCACTCAATGATAGAGCCATTGCTGGCTTCTGGAATCCTGGTAACGCGACTGGTGTATACTACTTCTCTACTGAAGGTTATGATTTAAGTTAGTTGAACTGCATTATTGATAATATCTATAAAACTGACACAAAATTAGAATAACGTGTACTTTCATAATAATGCAAATAGCTAACCTTTCGCGATTGAAGTAATATATACCAATAGATATTATTATATTATTATTTGCTTTTAAATGATTTCCAAAGACTGAATGTACATAAACTCTTATAATCAAACTTGGATTGAAAAGTGAAAAACACAGTCAGAATTATGATTAATTATAAGATACGATAAGAATACCAAGAACAATACTTACATACCAACATTCATGTTCTGCAGAAACATTATAACTAATATATTATTTAATTAAATTTAAAATATTAATCTATTATTTTATGGCAAATATACTTTTATTAATGTTGTCATTTACAATATAATTCATAGCAAGCTCACTGGACGGGGGTTATAATCGAGATCGAATAATATTTTTCTTATTATTTATTAGTACGGTGATCCGTACACAAAACACACGTCCAGACTATACAAAATTTTCACACTTAATACATGTACGATGACTATTAATATTGAGAAAAATAGACAGGCAAAAGTAAATTGTAACTACAACTTTAATCATTGTACCAAATAGGGTAGGGTTGCCACCCGTACTTTATAAAAAAGTATTGTACGTTATTTAAGGTAATTGTACTCTATACTTTATAAGAATAATAAAGTACACGAAAATACTTTATTTTTGCAAACTTCATTTCTATTAAAGTCGTTAGTATTTTTCGGTAAACTTATCGATTCGATATCGATTTATGTTGAATCGATTTTGTCACTCGCCAGCGCCACTTAGACAATTACAAGATACTAATTTAATACAAACTGCAAAAAGCAATAAAAAAATATTTTTAAATAGAATGCTACCTATTTAAATAAAATTGTACTTTATTTTTGTACTGTGTACTTTTTTTTCTTACCTATAATCGTCAATGTACTTTAAATACAAAAAAAGGTGGCAACCCTACAAATAAGTTACATTTAGGTACCTCGTAAAACACCGTAATGAGCACTGGACTTTGCTCAAATAAAGAGAAAGATTAGTAAAAAGAAATACAAACCATAATATTTGCTGACGTCATATTCTGAAAATTACATGTTCATAATTAATTCAAAGTATTTGTTTATATTTTAGTCATTATGTATTCCATACATGTATCGTATTAATTATAATACTAAGCCGATTTTGGATCTCAAGGAAAAATTATTGAAGGATTTTGGAGGCGTACGTGACTTGTGTAATGGGTTCAATGTGAAATGGGTTGAAATATGTACTATTAGTCATCGTCATCTTTGAAAGAAAATGCTATAGGCATCATTTACTTCATGTTTTAATTTATTAGGATTCGTGTTAATTTTACGTTACACTGCTAAGATATAGTAGTAGTCCCTAAACAAATTGATTGTGCTACTGGATACAGAATAGAAAATCTTGTCGGTCGTTGCACTGACGACCTCTCTAAGAGGCAGTCAACATCTATACTCTATACTCTAACGGGTAACCGGGGCCCCGGCTCGACGTGCAGGAGAAGGAACGGGGTAGTTTTAGTCAGTAAGAGTCTGAAACTCCCTTCCGCCTCACCCAGGCGGGAGCAGTCATTCGATGATTTTCCCCCCTTAAAAAAATACTCTGTACTAATATTATAAAGCTGAAATTTGTTTTATTGTTTGTTTGATCGCGCTAATCTCCGAAACTACTGATTCGAATTGAATAATTCTTTTTGTGTTGGATAGTCCATTTATCGAGAAATGCTATATGCTTTAAAACATCTCGCTACAACTAATAGAAGCCGAGCAGAGCGGGTGAAACCGCGCGCAAGTAGCTAGTATTATATAAGATCTACTTAGGTTTATACATACAGAGAGTATGGAACGAGATTTAGGTTTATTTTAGATTTATTAAAGTTTTTCTAAGTGTACACAATAAGCTTTTTTATTTTTGTTTTGTAGTGAATAAGTTCAATAATTCTTACAAATAATAAATTTATTTGATTGCTCAAAGACTATTATTTATTTGTTATTTTTATGACCACTTTTTATCTACAAGTCCGTTAAAAACGATCTATTTGCTTGATTACCCGCGGACGACGTAGGACAGGCAGATTTCAATAATTACTGTTTTTATGGTATAAGCCGGTAAACGAGCAGACGGATCACCTGATGGTAAGCAATCGGCGTCGCCCATGGACACCTGGAACACCAGAAGCGTTACAAGTGCTTTACCGGCCTTTTGGGGATTAGGAGTTTGAGGATTGTTGGGGATTCGGAGATTGGGGAAGGGGGGAGGGTAGCTGGGCCTCCGGTAACCTCACTCACACGACGAAATACATCGCAAGCGTTGCTTCACGTCGGTTTTCTGTGAGGCCGTGGTATTACTCCGGTCGACCCGGCCCATTTGTGCCGAAGCATGGCTCCCCCACACTAACTATCTTCTTCTAGCGGCTACGCCCGAGTTCCCATAGGATAGCTTATGTGTTATTGTAAACCGTAATTTACCCATGTTAAAATTTCATCCCGATCCCTTCAGCCATTTATATGTGATTGAGTAACAAACAGATGCAAATTTACTCATTTATTATTTCTAATTACATAACATACATACATAACATCACGCCTTTTATCCCCGAAGGGGTAGGCAGAGATGCACATTATGCCACTGTACAATGTAACACCCACTTTAATAATAATAATATAAACTTGTGAGCAGCTGTTAGCTAGTGTAGCTTTTATCAGTAAATTCACGCTAGTAACCCGCGATTTTTAGTTAGGTAATTTAGATTATGCTACATTAAAATTGAAAACTGAATAATTGTTCCAAGTAAAAGCTGGATGCATGTTTTGGACAAACTATTTCACGTTTTGTTTTCTTTTACAATTTCATGAGCTATCAATAGCAGTCATCATCAACAGCCTATAATTGCCCACTACTGAGCAAAGCCTCTTCTCACACAGAGAAGGTTTGAGCATTAATCACCACGCTTGCTCAATGCGGGTTGGCGATTACAAACTTATAATTAGAAATTATAAGCCCAGGTTTCCTCACGATGTTTTCCTTCACCGTTTGTCAGTGGTGTCTAAATAATCTTAGAAAGTACATATAACTCGGAAAATGTCACATAGGTACTTGCCGTTGGTAGGTTTCGAACCCGCATTCTCATGCATGAGAAGCCAGCGTCTTAAACCTCCGGGCCACCATGACGTTTTTAATAATTTAAAATTAATCAATAGCAGTATAGTATTTCAATATGCACAATCAAAACAGTAGAATTCTGCTTTACGAAGGAACATCTGTTTCGCAAAGCCGTTCCAGTCACATGAGACCACAACTTGCGCGACTATGGTAAAGGGTCATCACACGGAATGCACAGAATCGCTGCGTCTTGCGTTGAAGTAGAGGGGCCACGATGTTATTTGTTTTATATTTCTTGTGGACTCGCTATGACGCGCATCTATGTCGCGGCTATGTCACCTTTTTAACACGCTTTTATTCATCTGTAACTACATCCACTTAACTCCGTAAAAAAGGTCAAACAAACACATTTTCGCACTTATATTTTTTAATGAAATTTAAAGTAAGCCGAGTGGTCGCAAGTGCGACTGCCTGGAGTCGCGGACATCCGGGGCTCCGGCTCGACGTGCAGGAGAAGGAACGGGGTGGTTTTTAGTCAGTAAGAGTCTGACACTCCCTTCCGCCTCACCCAGGCGGGAGGAGTCATTCGATGATTTTCCCCCCTTAAAAAAAAAGTGCGACTGCCGGGCAAGGGGTCTCGGGTTCAATTCCCGGGTCGGGCAAAGTATTACTGGGTTTTTAAAAATTCTCAGTAGTAGCACGGAGTCTTGAACTGTGCCCGGTATATGGCAATAGGCTCACCCCCTATTACATGGGACTCATAACATAAATAGTGAAAAGTGGGTGTTACATTGTACAGTGGTATAATGTGCACCTCTGCCTACCCTTCAAGGATAAAAGGCGTGATGTTATGTTTTTGTGAAACTAGCTGTTGCCCGCGACTTCGTCCGCGTAGATTAATGACTTCTGACAGAATCAATTCAGTGCCCAAGTAAGATTTACCTATTTTGAAATGATTTATCGTAGTTTCAATAAATAAATAATCCCGCAGGGATCTTACCAGTACAGTGCCCGATCACGTAAGGTTTGAGTAATAAAAACTATTCTATCGACTATTGTTGTACCGAATCTCTCTAAAATAAGTTCAGTGGTTAAGAGTTAGACAGTCCCGGGGCATTGACGCATAGTTCCCGTTCCCGTGGGACATCTGTGATAAAAACTATCAAACGTTACCCAGGTCCCAAATCATCGTTTTACCGAATGTAATTCAAAAAGACTCAATGATTCTAAATTCAATGGCTAAGAAGATTTATACAAACTCTCATTCCTTATTTTATCCCCTTATTGGTGGAATTTATCAAAATCCTTTCTAAGGAGATACCTATGTCATGAGATGTCTATGTCAAAGTCTCAGCCCGATCAATTTAAAACTGGCAAAGTATCATACTTTGGGGTGAGAATGTTCAAAAACCTTTCTAAAGGGACGTTTACGTCATAGTATCCATCTGCACGCCGAATTTCAACCCGATCGGTGTAAAACTGACAAAGCTTCATACAAACGTTCATCCCCTACATTACCCCATTGGAGGTGGAAATAATCAAAATCCTTACTTGGGGATGCCTACGTCATAACATTTACCTGCATGCCGAATTTCATCTGCATCGGTGTAAAACTGACAAAGCTTCATATAAACTTTCACCCCCTATTTTACCCCCTTAGGGGTGGAAATGATCAAAATCCTTTCTTAGCGGATGCTTATATGATAACATCTATCTGCATGTCAAATTTCAATCCGATCGATTTAAAACTGACAAAGTCTTATACAAACTTTCATCCCCTATTTTACCCCCTTAGGGGTGGAAATTATCAAAATCCTTTCACAGCGGATGCCTACGTCATAACATCTATCTGCATACCAAATTTCAACCCGATCGGTTTAAAACTGACAAAGTCTCATACAAACTTTCATCCCCTATTTTACCCCCTTGGGGGTGGAAATTATCAAAATCCTTTCACAGCGGTTGTTTACGTCATAACATCTATCTGCATGCCAAATTTTAACCCGATTGGTTTAAAACTGACAAAGTTTCATACAAACTTTCATCCCCTTTTTTACCCCCTTGGGGGTGGAAATTATCAAAATCCTTTCTTAGCGGATGCCTACATCATAACATCTATCTGTATTCCAAATTTTAGCCCAATCTATCCAGCGGTTTGGGCTGTGCGTTGATAGATCACTATGTCAGTCAGTCAGTCAGTCAATCACCTTTGAATTATATATATATAGATAGATTTAAAGAAACAGTCAAATAGACTGATCGCCTGATGGCAAGCGACGCAACACCAGAGGACTCACATGTGCGTTGCCGGCCTTTTAAACAGGAATATGCTCTTCTCTAGAAGGTTTGAAGGTCGTATCGCTTCGGTATATTAGTAAGGATTAATAAATAAATAAATAATAAATCAACGTCGACCCTTAAGCAACTAATTCACTTGTGCCTTGAAGACACCCAAGTTACACCCTTCAGGAAATACAGAGTCAGGCAAAGAATTCCACTCCTTAGCAGTACGCACAAGGAAGCTTGATGCGAAGCGCTTCGTGCGTGTGGGTGGGATATCTACCATGAATCGGTGACGCTTCGCCGATTGTCTTGTGTCTACCAAAAAAATCACAGTAACAAGAAAACTAGAATATTTAGACTATACTTTAGAATAGAATAGAATAGAATAGAATGTCATTTATTTCCAAGTATATGGTACATTGAGGTTTTACATTAAATATTGTTTCACATACACTACCATTGCTGGTGTAGAAATATTATGTTAATCATGCTTTATAGAATAAGTTAAAAAAGAAAAAAAAAACTAGTAATTACAATAATGCCAAGTAAATTGATTCAATCACACATCTATGATTTTGCTTGGTACATGACAGTAAATAGAAGTATCAGTGTTATTTCCATCAAAGTGTTAAAATATTTCATATAATGTTTAAATGCTAAATACAATGTCAATATGTCAAAACGTATATTGTCAAAATACTAAACTAAAATAATTATACAACATACTTAAAAATGATTAAAGAAAAATACAAATATCAAATAGGTAAGTCATAATTATACAATATTAATCAATGTCAAGAAATAAAAGTTCAATAACAATAACAATATGTCAATATTTCTGTAGTCATATTATGACAATGTTTGTTAAATATTCTTTTACCGAATAGTATGCCTTTTTTACAAGAAATTTATTCAGTTCTACTTTAAACACATTGATTTCCCTGGTTTCGAGTAAATGTTTAGGTAGTCTGTTATATATCGATGGTGCCATCCCTAAAAAGCTCTTGTGGAAGATTGCTTTCTTGTGTTGTCTATAACGGATTTTATTTTTGTTACGCGCGCTTTTTAATGTTTCAAATAGTCTAGGGTTCCCTTTCACAAACATTGCTACCTCATATATGTACAGACATGGTAATGTTAATATACGTAATTTCTCAAAATACGGTTTACAACTGTCTGTTGTTTGAATACAGCATATTGCCCTAACACATCTCTTTTGTGCTTTAAATACTATGTCTGTATTCGAGGAGTTACCCCAGAAAATAATACCATATCGTAATATCGATGTTACACATGCATGATACGCCGTGATGACAATACTCTGGTTTACTTCTTTTGCGAGTTTGTATAGGGCGTATGACTGCTTATTCAGTCGCTTACATATGGTATTTGTGTGAGTTCGCCATGACATGTCTCTGTCTAGTTCTATTCCTAGGAATTTCGTGGATACTGTTTCTGCAATTATTTGTCTTTGTATCTAATGTCAAGTTTATTGTGATTAGTTTTTTGTTCAAATGTCATTATTTTAGTCTTGTCAATGTTTATTTTTAAATTATTTTCGGTCATCCATTCTATTAATGATCCTAAGCATTGATTTATCTCTGTTTCAAGTGTTAAGTCATTATTATTTGTACTGAAGATCACTGTGCTGTCATCTGCAAACAGGACCATTGGATGACCTGTTATCTTAGGCATGTCATTAATATAAATGATAAATAAGAGGGATCCCATAATGCTGCCTTGTGGGACTCCATAGTTATTTTGTCTCTGATTAGAAGTGTATTTTTGCTCAATTTTAGTGTTACTGTTAATTTTATTTATTTGTGTAATCTGTTTTCTATTTGATAGATATGATTTAATAAGGTTGAGGGCATTACCCCTCACTCCATATCGTTCCATTTTATTAATTAATATTGTGCGATCTACAAAATCAAACGCCTTGCTCATATCCATGAATAGAGCAGCCACCGGATTTCTGTCATCCACACTCATGATAATTTTTTCATATAATTGTAGAATTGCCAAGTTTATGTTCTTTTTTCTCCTAAAGCCATATTGTTCATCTACAAAAAGATTTTATTTTCAAAGAATGAGTATATTTTATTATAGATGACTTTTTCTAATATTTTGGAAAAAATTGGAAGCAATGCAATAGGACGATAGTTAGATGGGTCCTGTTTGCTACCTTTTTTAAATATAGGCTTAATAACTGCCAGTTTTAGTCTGTCTGGAAATACAGCTGTTTCAAAACACAAATTAATAATATAACTAAGTACTGGTGAGACAATGGGAGATACACTTTTAATTACACTTGTTATGATCTCATCATAGCCAGAGCTGCTTGTATTATTTAATGATTTTATTAAATTTATAATGTCATTGGGAACTGTTGGAGTCAAGAATATGGAGTCATAATGCATATCAATTTTATAAGCTAAATTATTAAACTTATTTGTGTCAGATTGAGATTCAATTTCGTCAATAAAATAGTCATTCAGCGTTTGAGCTATGCTCTTTGGATCAGTTAGTACATTGGTGGCTATTTTAAGTTTTTCTATTCCTTCTATAGGACTGTCATTTTTACTCTTATTTATAATTTGCCACGTAGCTCTACTTTTATTACTGGCATTGTTAATAAAGTGATTGTTTTGAGTTTTTTTAGTGAGACGAATAATAGTTTTCAGACGCCTTGAGTATACTTTAAATAGTTTTCTACTACTGTGTTTCTGATCTTTCCGAAATTGATATAGCATTTGACGTTTTCGTTTGCAGCACAGTATAATTCCTTTACTAATCCATTTGGGTTTATTTAAAGTACACCTTTTTAATTTTTTAAGTGGAAAGCACAAATCATAAAACATTTTAAAAGTATCATGAAAAGAGTTAAATGCGTCATTTGCATCTGTGCAAGAGTAAACATCATTAAATTTAATATTTCCTAAGCACTCCCTAAACTTCATTATATTATCTCTGCAATAACTACGTCTAAATGTATACCAGTATGGGAGTTTGCATGTTTTATTTATAGGGCATTTCATGAGTTGCGCTGTGTGGTCTGACAATGCTAGTTCGATTATGTCACATTTACTCGTCTTAATGTTGTGAATTATGTTATCAATGCATGTACCGCTACCGAGACGGGTGGGGTTGGAGACTCCTATTGTTAGATTAAATCCTTCTAATAAATTTTGAAAACTATGGGAAGCATAATTTTCTTTTAAAATGTCTATGTTAAAGTCTCCACATAAAATAACTTTTTTTTTACGTTTCAAGCAAATTTCAGTAAGAATCATATTTAAATTGTTCAGAAATGAATTTATTGAGATTTTATAATTTTTAGGAGGTCTATACATACATATAGACTATAGAAAGAGTCTGCAGTTCAACAGCGCAACTTTCAATTATATTCGATATACACCATTTATCTATTTCGATTTTCTCACCCTCGAGTGTATTTTTTAGTAGAATACATGAACCCCCATTTCTAGCATTTCGTGCGTAGTAAGATTGAATTTTATAATTTTGTAGATGTAGATTCATAAAATCATCACTCTTCATATTTGTTTCTGAAATGCATACAACATCAACGGGCCTACCCTCTTCCAAAAAATTATTCAAATGTATACTTAGTAAGTCCGACTTATTTATTAGTCCATTTATATTTTGATGTAGTACAAAGATATGTTCATACACGAAAAAGACTATCACATACAATGTCAGAATCAATGAAAGATTCCTGTTGCGTTATATTTACTTTACAATTTATGCATTTGTATCGAGGGTTATACAATTTAAAATCAATTATTATGTTAGTCATTATTTGGCTGTAAATATCTCTCCATCCATACTTATTGATTTTTCCCGATTTGTATGAAAACATTTCATGCGATAGTGTGCTGTTACTGTCGAGAAAGTAAGCATATTTGTTATTTCTTATGTCTAAATAGAGTAAGTTATTAAACAGTTCAACTTTATAATTATAAATTAGTGCACCTTTTATGTAGGTAGGAGCACAAATTACTATATTAGTGTGTGTAATATTTGTGAGCGAGTTTCTTAGGCTGTCGAGGTTATTTATGTGGTCCCTCTTTTTTATCTCTTTTTTATCACTTTTTACCATATATATTGTTAATATGCCACCACTACATCTGCTTTTGTCAATTGCAGGTAAAATATTAAAAAACACTAACAAAGACCTTTAATTGTATGTTATAATGTGAATTAAATATGTGTATATTGTTAATTATGAGAATCAGACAAGGACAATTTAAACAAACAAACCTAATTAATTTATTAACGTAACATGCCCAAAAAGTAAATATGATTGTCCAGGAAAAGGTACGTATTTTCAACAGTAAGGGAAAATAGCTCTTTAGGATTTCGCTATATATAAAGCAAAATTCTCTCCTATTTTCACATTCACCAACGATATTCAGGAGGACACACAAGCCACCATAGTATTAAAAGTGAAAAGGACATAAAAACATCAAAAGGCAAAATGCAAATGTTTAGTTTTTGCTTATTTTCGTTAATTTGTTTGAGTGGAATCACCCAAAGCAGCGGTGGTAAGGTGACACAAGATCTCATGGGTTGGCTTTTAGACCTGGTTACAAACTGTGAGTATTAACTTGAAAAATTATTCTGTTCATAAGTTTATCTCGCTCAAAGTTCATCATTACTTTTTACTAATTCACAAATTGTGACTGCACGGTTGGCGCGGTGGCTGGCCAACAGGCTGCCGTGCAAGTGTCGCGGGTTCGATTCCCGCACAGAACAACACTTTCTGTGATCCACAAATTGTTGTTTCGGGTCTGGGTGTCATTGTGTATGTAAACTTGTATATTTGCAAACGCATTTACGACACAGTAGAAAATCCTAATGAGGGGCAACGTTTTTTTAAGAAAAAAAAAATAGTATACTTTAACAAAAGTAAAACTTTCTTATTTTTCGTTGTATTCCAATTTTCATAATTTAATTTGTAACTCCTCTTCAACAGGTGACGTTCAAAGAGGCGCGAACCTGGACGTCAGTAAACTAAATGTCCATTTTTACGATGTGCGTACAGACCAACCCAAGTCGTTTCCTATAAATAAAGCTGCAAAAGATATAATTTCCATTATCAAAAATGACAAAAACAAGCAGATCTTCATGTTTATCGGTGGTTACAAAACGCACATTGACCACCCGACTTCAGACCTAGCAAGAGAAACCTTTAAAAACATACCCAACAGTTACCTGATTATCATAGACCATTCCGAGTACACTCACAATTTTGATGGCAACCGAGAGTCATACAGAAGGTCCGTCGAATATGTCTACTCTATTGGGGTAGAAGTGGCAAAAATGTTGAATGAACTCCACAAAGGAGGAATTAATGCTAAAGGTATCCACGCTATCGGCCACAGCTTGGGTGCCCAAATACTGGGCCATGTTGGACATAATTTCATTAAATTGACTAATGGTCAGAAAATTGCTAGAATTACAGCATTAGACCCAGCTGGCCCTTGTTTCTCAAACCGTCCGAAGGAGGAACAGATCAGAGCTGGTGTGGCGGATTATGTTGAAGTTTATCATTGTGACGATGGTTTTTTAGGTACGAAGAGTAGATTTGGTGATGTAGACTTCTATATGAACAAAGGGTTCGAGCAACCACAATGTAAGTCATCATTTTGGAAAAACCTTTGTATTCTTAAACCGAAAATATGCAGCCACAAGGTTTGTGTGGCCGCGTGGATGTCTACAGTTATCCATCGCGAAAGATTCCCAGCTACACAGTGTGACTCATATGAATCATTTAAACAAGGGAACTGCGCTCAGAACAGCAAGACCATTGCGGGCTTCTCCAATCCTGGTACTGCGAAAGGAACTTATTACTTCTCGACCAAAGAATATGAACAGTTTTAAGAACTAAATATATAAAAACAAATAGATTATAAAGCTTTAATATTAATATTTTTGCTACATAAGTTTTCTAAGTGTAGTCACCGCGTAACAAGACCTCATTAGTAATATAAAGTAAAAATAAAAGTATTATCGATATTTTATATGTATATTGTAATCTCACTTTTCTTTGTATTTTGCTTTTTGTTTTATTTTCGCTCGTTTTTTATGGGATAAACCGGTAAACGACCAGACGGATCAACTGATAGTAAGCAATGGACACCTGGAACACCAGAGGCGTTACAAGAGCGTTACCGGCCTTATAGGATTAGGAATTTGAGGTTTGTTGGGGATTCAGGGATTGGGGAAAGGGGGGAAGGTAATTGGGCATCCGGTAACCTCACTCACACGACGAAACACAACACAACGTTGTTTCACGTCGGTTTTCTGTGAGGCCGTGGTATCACTCCGGTCGAGCCGGCCCATTCATGCCGAAGCGTGGCTCACCCACACTTAGTTAAGTCCCATATTAAGTTAAACTAATAGTAGAAAAATATATATGATTAGTCTAAATTTAAACTATGTAATGAATATTATAAATACAAATAACTAAAAACTGTATTATTTACTCCTTAAAATTACCTTAAAATAATATTAATAATAATGTTAGCGTAAATAATAGAGAAATACAGTATCAAAGTACAGCCATATGTATGCCTAAACGAAGACGTCACTACATCAATTTTTGTACGTACTTAAGCTTTGTATGATTTGAAAGTAAACTTTATTTTAATGTCTGACACCAAGATAACTTGATAAGATCATTCGTTTTCATTTTATTTCCTCACATCTATTATAGAGAATAATATAAAAAGCTGCGTGTAATTCGTGTGGAAGGCTCTAATGTGCACTTAGCGCCTACCTCTAGATACGACAGCTACACACAACACTTTTCGTAAAGGAAAGAGCTTTTGTTTTAAAAATGACATTATTTCTCTTTCGCGCCAAGAAAGGGACAGATTGCACTTTGTGTGACGCTGACGGGAATATTTTGTGTTGCCATGAACAATATTTAGAGCAATTTTTAAGTGTTTTTACCGTCATTCCTTTTAAACAAGAATTGTACACCAAAATTTTCAGTTGATTTTTTTTTAACATTGCCCTACTCTCGGATTTTCTCCTGTGGCGTGGGTGCATTCACAAACAAACAAGTTCATATACACATGACACCCAGACCCGAAACAACAATTAATGGATCACACAAAGAGTTGCTCCGTGCGGGAATCAAACCCGCTACACGTTACGAGGCAGCCGGTTGTCCAGCCACCGTACCAATCACGCCGTCAAATCCCATATAATAGGAATGAGCCTGTAATAATATTAAAACTATATTGCGCACAATTTCAGAGACCGTCCTATGATTTCCGAAAAATCGAATAAGCCCCAACAAGAAATTAAACTCGAGAACTTGCTCGGTAGTTGTACTTACGACCAATGTATTAATAGTAGCATGGATCGAGCAATAAATAGTATAATTATAATGCAATATAGGGACATATTCACTTTTTTTAAGGGGAGAAAATCATCGAATATCTTGTCCCGCCTGGGTGAGGCGGGAGGGTGTGTCAGACTCTTACTGACTAAAAACTACCCCGTTCAGTGCAGGAGTAGTCCTGCACTTCGAGCCGGAGCCCCGGTTACCCGTTAGGTTCTCCGCGACTCCGTAGGGATATATTCACTATTATAACAATATACCTATTGAACCATTACATTGTAAAAAAGTTGGTAAAAAGTACTGCCTATGTACCTCCAGTTTTCATTTTACATCGCCTATGTGTAGTGGGCAGCAGGTCAAAATCCTCTTTTCTATCAAACTTCTTTATTCGATTTTCACCTCTATCATTTAGAAATAAAGTTGAAAGTCCAATAACAAAAATTTATACATTCGAGTAGGTTGATGTGCTGGTCACTGTACAAACAAACAAAATTGAATGTTTGGACACACCAACCATTGCTCCAATTTTGAATGCAGGCAGTATCAATAGAGTTTTTTTAACCTACACTGCCTACAGTTATTGGATAATACTATAAAATATTGTTTTTGAAAAATATTCATTACTCGTTCTATATTTTAGAATAAGTACCTTGTAGATAGACTGTCGGGAGACTATATTTTGACGGTTCAAAAGCGCCTGTTCGTATATTAATTAAAACAAACACTTTAACTAAAAATATATTATGTCACAAAATTAATAATAATGCGTGGCTACTAACTTTTATTTATAATATACAATACGTATATATATATTTGATAGGCCGACGATTGGCCACTATCTCGCCTGATGGCAAGCGCTGATGAGGACTACCTCATCAGTCTACTAGTCTTTAAGATAATTAATTTAACATGTCTCATGAGAGTTATAATACAAATAAGTGAATCAGTACAAACCTTACGAAACCACTAGAAACTGTCTTTTTTCATTATAATGATAATAATAAACCAGTCTTCAAAAAGCAGCAAGTATCTGCAACGGAAAGCAAAACATAGACGAACTATTTCAATGAGAGAACTTTGTGTTCAAAGTGAGGCCACAGATATTTCAGTTTAACCAATATCTGGGCATATATGAGTAGAAGTCGAAACTATCCACAGTTAATGGAATAGCTGAAGACCAGTGGGTGAGTTGGGCATCGACTCAGAATAAAAAAATGGCCGACGTGACGCAAAAAGGAAATGTTTTTTGGTGTACTTTTTTATGGAATTAGCTGGTAAACGAGCAGACGGATCACCTGATGGTAAACAATCTGCAACGCCCATGGGCACCCGGAATACCAGAGGAGTAACCGGCCGGCCTTTTAAAAATGGTTACGCTCTTTTCTTTGATGACAGACTGATAATAAAATTCCATAAAAAAACGAAGCAATCGAGGTACCTGATCGCCAAGAAAATAATAATACTTTTATAGACTACATTTTAAAAACCGACTACAATCCCCTCTTTTTTGAAATCGGTTAATTAATATACTAAAACCTTCTCTCAAACGCTTTTCTGAAAACCGAATCAAAATTGGTTCAGCCAGTCGCGAGACAATAGCACACAAACACATCTGTATACTTACAGGTCAAATTGAGAACCTTTTTTATATGGAATAGGGGGCAAACGAGCAGACGGATCACCTGATGGTAAGCGATCAGCGCCGCTCATGGACACCCGCAACACCAGAGGAGTCACAGGTGCGTTGCCGGCCTTTTAAAAAGAAATACTCTTTTCTTGAAGGTTTGAACCTCCTTTATTTCCTTTTAAAGTCGGTTAAATACAAAACATAATAAATTGTGAGATAAAATTAATTGAATATTAATGACGAAGGAAGCTTATAAAACACCGTAAATTACGAACAAAATAAGGAAACGTAAGCAAGTCTGCTATAAAAATATATTTTTCTCCACTAATGAAAGAAATGCCTATTAAAACAGAAAATGGAGTGCTTTTAAAGAAAAAAGTAATTAAACAACCTTTTATAATAGCTCGAACCATTAAACGCTTTGTGGTGGATGAAGAAATATGGATGATGCTAACATTAATGTATTTCACGAAAAAACTAGAATCAACCGCAGATTTTCTCACATTATCAGAATGAAACTAAACTTTTGTATTGGTGTTATTTGTTTATGTATGTAAGCATCTGGACAAATTTGCAAACACACTTTTATTTTAACACCCTATGTCCCATGTCCCCATCCCTCGAATCCTCCACAAACCTCAATTCCCAATTCCCAAAAGGCCGGTAACGCACTTGTAACGCCTTGGTGTTTCGAGTGTCCATGGGCGGCGCCGATTGCTTACCATCAGGTGATCCGTCGGCTAGTTTACCGGCTTATGCTATAAAAAAAACACTATTAACAATACTTTGGCGTTATTCTGACTGTTAGAATTTTGAAACACGATTAATACTTTATTCCAACCAGACACAAAAAAGCATATATACGGTCGAATTGAGAAACCTCCTCCTTTTTTTGAAGTCGGTTAAAAAGCGATATGCAGACACACTCACAACGACGCAACCAGCCAGCCCTACTTAGTGTACAAATGAAATTAAAAACCCACGATACAGACGAAAAATATTAATTTTAATAATAGAACACGGTCTTAATTACAGCAACGTTGTTATGAAAACAATATTTCTGCTTAATAGTCTGTTAAATTTGAATTATAACTGACATTTTAAGGGTGTTTCGTAATAAATATTGCTTAATGTCTTTACTCGAGGTATTCTCCAGTAAATGTTGGGTATTTACTTGGCAAATTGACCCCATACTAGGTTTACAGAAAATGAGAAGATACCTATGTTTGTGTATGATTGTTGATGGTAAGCAATCGACGTCGCCCATGGACACCCGGAACACCAGAGGCGTTACAAGTGCGTTACAGACCTTTTGAGGATTAGGAATTTGAGGGTTGTTGAAGATTGGGGCCCCCGGTAACCTCACTCGGTTGCTTTACTTCAGTTATCGGTTTTCTGTAAGGGCGTGATATCACTCCATTCGTGCCGAAGCATGGCTCTCCCACAGGTTAAAATTAGAACCGTAATGTCATATTTTATATATGACCAGACACAAGAAACCGTGCACACCTGGCAACAGTTTAACCACGTGAAATATATTGCAAACTGCAATATAAACTGCAATTCCTAAATGTATATTTAGAAGACAGTTTACCTGCTCCAGAGGCCTTTGAAAAACGACGGAGTGTCGTCATAAGCTCTTACCAACTACTATTATGGTTACTGGCAGCAAGCCAGATACAGGTTGTTTTAGCAAATTTGAAAAATTCAGCCTGTACCGTAAAATATTAACGAACGAAATATGTATGTAAGATATTCTTAATGTGCCAATGAGATGTGTTCTATTTATTTATTTATTGACATTAAAAGTTAACAGCAAGAGCCAAAATACTTACATTCTAGGATACAAAAAAATTACATACATAACATCACGCCTTTTATCCCCGAAGAGGTAGGCAGAGGTGTACATTATGCCACTGTACAATGTAACACCCACTTTTCACTATGTATAGAGGTAATCTATTTATTGAAAAAGAGTATAACCTATGGAGTTTCTTGCTCGTTCTTCTCCATAGGAATCTACACCTTAGAATGAGCAAATAGCTTCACTTTAAATGTTTATGTTGACGTTTAAAAGTGCCTTTCTGGCCTAATTGAAATAAATGATTTTGACTTTGACTTTGACTTTATGTTATGAGTCTCATGTAATAGGGGATGAGCCTATTGCCATATACCGGCCACAATTCCAGACTCCGTGCGACTACTGAGAATTTATAAAAACCCGGTAATACTTTGCCCGACCCGGGAATCGAACCTGACACCCCTTGCCAGGCAGTCGCACTTGCGACAACGAGGCCAACGAGGCAGCCGCAAAAAAAAATAAAAATTAACGTTTAAAAAACTGACATATTAATCAACGTGTGACATACGACTTATCGTGAAACAATTCTGGTAT